CACGCTATTAAAGTTCTTCCGACTGTTTGATGAGCTTGATGGAAGTACAACCCGGGAAAGGGAGAAGCGGATTCACGAAAAAACCACATGCTATTCGCATGCCTCATCAGCGGTATCCACCGTTACACCCGTGGGTTTTCGATGATTCACATGGACGGGACGAAACTCAAGCTAACCCTTCGGGTCATGCTGCCTACCGATAAACTCTTGCGTTTACTATCAAAACCTGAATGAAACAAACCCCAATTGGGCAGCCCAACCAGATGGGCTAACTATCAAATGGCCAATAGTAATTGATGATCAACACTTGGCCAATAAAATCGATGTATACAAAAAGGCTGCCTTATCCAGTGCCTTAATGCACCGCTGAAACGCGACACTTCAAAACTACCTGGTCACTGGTGGTACCACGTAATGTGGCTCAGATACGTTTGCAACAAAAATGCCAGGCCCAACAGATTGTTTGATCACGTTTTCAACAACTTGAAATACCAATTTTCCCTCTGCATTTTGAAAGGATATGGGTGACAAAGAACACTATGCCGTTTTATTTGCCTCTCTGGAGTCTAGTGAAATGTCAAAGTATTTGAAAAATGAGAACAGCCAGCCATTTACTTGTAACCCTTGTTTTGATTGTCGTATCATCTTCCAGTTCTCCTTAACTAGGATGGACCACCGTAACCATTTAATAACTAACTGCTGTTATTTTGATGGAACCGGATTTTCGGCAGGCGGCTTCAAATTCAAAGGTTGCACAAGTTTTTTTGGAAACTTCTATCCGCTAAATCATCAGGCTATCAGCCGACTGCCTGATTCTCCACCATTTCGATGGTAACTATCGGCTCCGTTCGACAGGAATCGCAGTTATATCGAAATCATCTCATGTGGGAAGCGGTACCAATTTGCTGTATGCAGAATCCTAGTTTTGTTCAGCCTATCTCAGATGCAACATTAAGTATCATGCCGACAGCCCTTATATGCTGATAAGCAGATGTCAAATTTTTCTTCATCTGAGTCGTAGACTTTTAGGAGCTGTTCTTACAGTTTGAAATTTCGTCCTCAGCTATCTCGATCAGATAGTTTAGTAGTTTTTGTGCGGCTGAACAGACCACGTTTTTTAATAGTCTGATTTGTACATCTGAACCTGACTAACATGAGATCGGAAGCTCAGGTTGCAAGGTTGACGGCTAAATGGCCCGCTGGCCTCGGTAAGTATGTTGTGATCATTTCACCAATCAGGTTGACATCATTAGTGGTGCGACGGCACACAGTGGTTCAGATAGACTTGGGTGTTTACCCACAGAATAATGTTGTTTATCTGTACGTAACTAGGGACGGCCACGCTTGGTTAGCGGAACTGCTATATTTACAAAAGCCGCTAGACGGCTGCATCAATGAACCACAAAGTGACCGTATAGCACTACGTACTGAAGACACTGTAAGACTGCGGCATTTGAACTCAGTGAGTAATCTAATAGTGGCTGTGACGCCGCGACACAACTAATTGATCAGATTGCTTGTGCATGAAGACGGGAGCAGAAAACAGCGAGTAGGATTCACGCCTGGGATGATTTGGGTGAACTAAATCTTCGAATTCCGTCAAGTGCTAGAGCAACCGCTAAGCGTTCGATTCTATCAGCCGGCTTACACATTACACCGCACTTATGCACTATCGTATGCCAGAGTTATTTTAAACGTCACCCACCATTTGTATTCAAATAACTGTGGACCGGTTAGATTGTATCGGGAGATCACAAAAAGGCTTTCCCTCAACCAGTGATTCCCGACATCGGTGTCCGCTTTCTTTATTTTGTTCAGCTTCCTCGTCAGTGAGGTAACGAGTTGAACTATGAAGGGTCTCCAAAACCCATGTACCTAGATCTCTCTGAGCGAGGACTTCGGTGACCTGGACTATGGAGGAACACTGTTCCCATTCTTGAAGAACCGCAGGAAGAGCAAGCAGTACTAGAAAAGGTAGCCGAAATCATCCAGTCTTTCGGTACGTGGTTCGAATCCAAGGGGTATAAAATTGTGCAGCAGGACTTAGTCTTCTAAAATACCCCTAAGGATCCAACGGTTGATACTGGAAGTTGTGGAAGTTGTGTGCTGGCGAATTCACCGCATGAATCTAAAAATCCAATGTTACTTTTGCCAGTTTGCGCCACTCGTTGCACCAAAAACGCACATCACCAGACCTCAAGTGCCGCATGTACCAGACCGCAATGCAAGCTGCAAGACGCGTTCACTTCGGGCGGAGCATATGAGGCAGATTTGGGTCTTCAACAACCGAACCATAGCTAGGGTCGGCGGAAATCACCCTTTTTGGCAATAAGGTTGTCAGAAAGCGGGCCTTTGGTGCAGCTGAAGTTACGTCACTCAATAAAGGCATTCAGCACTGCTAGCTAAGAGGGCCAAGCCATGAGTAACGCATGTATAGCCACCGCCTGCAGCGGCCAACGTTTTTTCCATGCCTTATTCTGACTGACGGAAATCTAAATGTGGAAAGCGGATGCCATGGTAGAAGAGAATGAAGGATTTTGCAAAACTTCTAGATGCTGTTATTGCTGTTCGCCTTCTAGGAAGGGTTCCTTAGTGCTCATTGCTGTACTTAGCTGGGGACAGTGAACGACACTGGGACAGACTACCGTTAGCGACGTTAATACTCTGCGTTTCGAACCGGATTTTCTGGCTGAGTGCTGAAAGTGGTGCCTTCTAGAATGAACCCAGGTCACACTTCTTGCTTCACTTTTTCCTCTTTCCCCTGTGATACTTTTTCCAAATAGATTGACATAATTTAAGGGTAGCGAACCACTAGTGTTATCAACCGGTGCTGCGACGACAGCGACGACGGTTGCCTGTTCCTTTATTGCAAAGACGATATCTAGCGCATTATTATTGTTCTGAGGACGAAATTAGTTAACCTCATATACTTGGACTAAAGTTCAGCAGAAGGCAGTCACCTGCTTACACTAACAGTTTGTCTGGTCAAATACACTGTGCTAGAACAATGCTTTGTTTGATACATATGTAACGCAGAAAAGGAGAAAAGTTTGCTCGTCCCAGATTCCTGTATCGTAGGTGATGAATATCCAGCCCGTCAACCCATAGTCTTAAGACAAAAGATGGATTTATGATTGTTCTGACAACTTTTACTCTTTTGAGTCCGACTTTTATGCGATGAGTTTTTCTCACAGTTACACGATTCTAACGTGAGATAGATCTCTAGTGGATAGTGCCGCACTATTGTCCATTTCTGTCAGTGGTTTGTTAAGCTGGTCGAGAAACCTCTTCTCTCCTAAGAGGTATCCGCAGCCCATCGTTTATGATTTTTACGAAGAGCGACGCAAGGTGAACATGACTGGTTGGATGCATGCTGTGTAATACTTCATCAGAAGAGGCAACAGTAGGAGACGAAATCTAGATACCAAAACGAGTTTTGAGCAACAAATCCTGCTTTGAACGGAACGCTACTCCCAATGTTACTGAGAACACTTGGACAGCTCACGACTGGTTTCAACTTTCCTGGAGTTCAGTTGAGTTTCAACCAAATTAATTTGCAAATGAGTGTATTAAACGAGTTCTCTTACGAAATACCATTGTCCTAAAACAACATGGTGAATCGGAACTTTTGTATAAGAATTGTAAACCCACGATACCCTGATTAATTCAGTCACCCTGAGAAAATTTTCTAAAATACGTTGTACTTTTGTGTCCAGAGGTAGGAAGAGGTGAAGCTACTTCCATACGGCTATTAACGATTTGAATCGTTCGAATTATGAAACGATGCTTATTGGTTTCTTGGTGCATACGAGTGATGAATGACTAAGTTCGTTGATACTACTCAGTTTCATCAAAGTGTCGGGTTTCGCAGCAAACACGATAACACGGACAGCAATCGGTTTTCTCGCTTCGGATGTAAAAAGAGCCTCCACTGAGACAGCCAGTAGCACCAAAGTGTGTAACACGACCCTGTTAGTTGAATACCGTCGAACTATCGTGTCACCATTTATTGGATACATTCTGTATGGAAAAGCTGTATCACTGTCTTCTGGATTTCTGGAGGACCTTCAAGATAGTTGTAAAAATATTTTGTTGAATATGAGGAAGTTTTGGGAAACCTTTCAATATTTTGACATTTTTCGCTTAGAAACATCCCCGTCCAACGCATTCTATCGTTTATGATGTATACCTGCCAAGATATAGATAACTGTGCAGTACTTTGACGGGCAGTACAATGCGAGTGCTGTTTTTTCAAGCACAAAGCGAAACACTGAAGGTGTACTGGCTTTTACAAAACGAAGTTGCTTGAGCTGGCAGTCAAAGTGCTGTCGTACTTCATGTTCAGTTGCACTTACTTGTTGATTTAAGGGACATATGAATAATGCACCAAAACACCTGTCCTATCCAGGTACTTACTGTTATCCGAATAATGCTTACCAGCTGAACAAGAGGGCAGTGCCCAGTGGGTTTCTCATAGAACTTGTGATCACAGAAAACTGATTTGAGAGACCCTGGTGTAAAAGTGCACCCTTGACTAAAAGTTTCAGATAACTATTATCACGAACCCACCCAGCAGTACAAACAACCTAAAAATTCTAGTCAAGTGTAAATCTTTTTTACCAGTTCTCTCTGAGAATTCATAAATATTTACGTAAAAACTCGCAGACAGTTCAAATTTAACCAGATGACCCTGAAAAGTCGAAAGTGAATAGGCTTAATTATCACGCCTTAAATTCTATATTTTAGGTATCCAGGACAATAACGTGAAAAATGGCCTAGAAATTGAATTCTGGATCAAACTGAACCTGTTTAAACTTTCTAGGTCATATGAGTATGACGCTAATGAATAAAAAGTCGAGCCGGCAGCATATTGGAATGAAACCATTTGTACGGAAATTCTGAAGATTTATTATTTACTTTGGGACAAGAAGAGTTTTCCTACAACTGTCCATGAATAAATGAAAACAATAAACGTTCAGATTTGGTGAAAGATAACTCACTAACGTCGGCAGCTATTCGATCAAGTTTCACAACGCTCAACTATTGATCATGGTTGATGTCCAACTTTGTAGAAGCAAGTATATCTACCCTGGTATATCGATGTGAATTGAACGTTTCTGATTGGTCTTTGAGTTTGCCTCACGTTCGGGCTCGGATGTTCCTTATCCATCAAAAAGTTTGGATGAGTCAAAACCAACAGTGGTGAAGATATTTCCTGTCCTCGCATGTGCAAATGTCTGTCATGGTCACGCTCGTTTGAGAAGCGCTCAGTTTGGAGTACAAGGAGCGCTCTAGCTACAAGCAAATAAGAAGACTGACACACGCAGTTGTGGAGGGAAATAAGCTGTGTTTTTCTAAGATCGACAAAATTGATGATATAAATTATCGCAACTGTCGTGCTTGTATAACCATGTGAACAGGACAATGGGTTGTTTTCTCAGCTCAAAACCACACCATCAATCAACGACCCCCGTTAGTTAGCCACAGGTTACTGCGTAAAGCAAACAACGATATTTTGCCCCGGTTCAATCGAATTCGGTTTGTGGAACGTAATTTATGTTTGTTTCGATGTTTTATCAGTCCAAAAAGGAATAATTTACGCTGAAAATATTCAAACTCTCGATTCCTTACGGTAAAATACATGTCTGTAGTGGATTAACTAACCGAATGCGCCTACATATAACACCGCCATACGTATAAACGACCCTTAATATCAGTATTCCTGGATTTTCTAGGAACATTTGATGAAATAGATAGAAATAGATCTATCTAGGACTTACATTAAAAATTCATATGACTTCGCCAACAAACTAGCGGGTGTCACTGTTGGGCCAGATGACATCCTTGTGAGTTTCGATGTGAATTCGTTATATACAAATGTACCAAAAGGGGCTTCTTCAGAAATATCCAAGCGACTGCTGTTAGCGGACACCACCCTTTCAGAACGGACACAGCTTACGGTAGATGAAATAGTGGAAGGCATAAAAGCATATCTGAATCTCACCCACTTCGTCTTTGACTCAGTGGTTTAAACTCAATATCCCCGGTTTTGGCAAATATATTTATGGAAGAATTTGAACAGAGAGCTTTAGCCGGATTCCCGTACCCACCCAAGATATTCTGGCGGTATGTAGATGACACTTTCGTCGTCATGATACGGGACAAGGTTAATGAATTTTACAACTATCTCAATGAACTGAGTCCACAGATCAAATTTAGTATGGAGATGGAGTCAACATCGGGTAAACTGGCCTTCTTAGACTGCATAACACATAAGGTTGGGGGGAGACTAAAGACCACAGTGTATGAGAAGCCAACCGACACTGGGGCAGTTTTGAACTACTCGTCTGCCCATCCGAAGTCGGTATTCGCCAGTGTTGCGTCATCAATGTTTTAGGCGTGTAAGGGCCCTGTGCACAGAAGAAGGTGATCGGACAGCGGCCCAAACTGAGGTAAAGAACAAACTTCGGGGTAGTGGATATCCAGCCAGCTTGATTAGGCGTTAATTGCGAAGGGTGCTGGTACCGGTAGCGAAACCCAACAGGGAATGGATCGGGACAGCTGTTATTCCATATAAACCAGGGACATCGGAGGTATCCCGGCAAACAGAACCAGGGACTGTGTCTACAGAATTAAGTGTAATGACTGCACCAATGTCTATATAGGACAGACGGCCGGGGAACTACACATCAGAGTCGGGGAGCATAGTAGAAAAATAAACAGGCCACCGAGAAACGCAGATGAATATCAAGCGTTACTGAAAGACTCGGCGATTGCGGAACACGCACGCGACACGGGACACGAAATAGATTTAGAAAATGTTGAGGTTTTGAGGCGAGGACTGCGGTCCACGTCACAGAGACTGATCGCCGAGGCGGTAGAAATCACCAAGCATCCCAGTGTTAACGGAATGGAAGGTGTGGAACTGGCTAGCGTGTGGAGAGCGGTCTTGAGTCACTCGAGCTGACACGTGTTGGGTGCAGTCATCAGAAGTAAGAATGGCCATCATCTGAAATCCACTTGACCTCAACCCCCTCAAACTAAATTGTCTGAGCACTCACAACCCCACAAAGACCAGGGAAAATCTAATAGCGGCACCCGAGGTGAATCATCAAGTGAAGCACCCTGAAGTGGAAGATTAAGGAACGAAAAGCGATCCGAACTAACCTGGCACCCCTCCAACCCATCAATTCAAGATTTTGGCACTCACGTTAGCCGACAAGAGTGGTTAATTGACACTCAACACTGATCTAGTTTGAAAAGGACTCACTGATTAGTTCCCCGTCTGTCTTATAACCTGGTCAATTTGGTGACCTGTTCACTTGGCCTGATGAAGCTTTTGTGTCAAAAGCGAAACGTTGCCCAAATAAATCTACCGACTGTTCACCAAGCTCTTCTGAAACATTTGAATCTGTTAACCGATCTGTTATCCTTGACACGTTTGCTTATCAAAGAATGCCCCGGAAGTTCGAGAACATAGTATATTCTTTTTATTCTCAGACTTCCGGACGCGAGTGTATACGGAGAGCTCTGCAATAGCTTTCGCACGCAAAACGGTTTTCGTCAGGGATACCCACTCTATCCATTTCTATTTAATTTATTGATTAATTAAATAATAAAACGAGTGCTGGACGGTCCTCAAAATCAAGGTGTTCAAGTAAACTCTGTCAAACTGGAATGTGCGGACGACACCGTTCTCATCTCCGAAGAAGAGGAAAAGGCGCAAGTATTTGGTATGCACATTGCACCCACAATGTGTAAGGTCATGCTCCTGGACATGTCGGTGTTATTCGCCTTCCAGGATGAGGAACGCGTGATCCCCACTGCGCCTGCTTGGAGACATTGCAAGATAATTCTGCTAATCGATGTCAGTGGCGTCTGTGTTGTCAGTTACTATCCACATTGCTTGAGTGTGTAAAGGTCTAGGCACCTTGGCACTAAGCTGCTGCCCCATCCAACTTTTTCCTTTTCTTCACAATAAGTTTTTCAAATAAATGATGGTCGTATGACAGGGAAGCATCTGTGTTGAACACTGATGTCACGTTGTCGATGATGATGACGATGGATTAAAGCTGTCAGATTTTGCAGTGGGAGTTGCTAGGCCTGATTAGAACGTCCTAGTTGACAGAATTGAAAAAAGTTAACCACAAGGAAAACCTGTTTTAGAAAAATCGGTATTTCGCTGCCATACCACCGAACATATTTTTTCTAGCATTCAAGAAACATGCCTTCTGACCCGCAGAATGCAATGAGTTAAGTCGGGTTCTTTCCCGACAAAGTAGAACCATGATAATCACGAATTACGAAATCATTCTCTGAGCTGTTTGGAAAAGCAGTGGAAGTACTTTAGTGAGGACGAGCTTTAGGAGTGCCCCGTACCAGACCATTCATCAAACTTTGCATTGCTAACACAGTTCATATAGGCTTTGTTGCATTGCTTCACAGAGCGGACTTTCGGTGCACAATAACTGTCATTTTAGTCTTAATTTCTACAATATTTCCTGTTTAAATACTTTGCTTTGGAGCTTCTTGGTAAGTTTACGGGCAGAGTAATGGCCCCACGGAGGCAGATGTGGAACTTTTAGAAACTCGAACACCTCTGCAGCTTACGTAGTTCTAATAATATTTGGTTTCGTCAGTTGGAAAATAACCCGTTTCCCTTAGCCCCACTGTAATAACTGATGGCTTTGATTCCAGATGACTCTTCCATTTGGATAAATTACTGATGCCTCATGAAGTAGACTTGTACCAACGAAAATTCCGCATCAGGCCATTTTTATGGCTTTTGTTATCGCCATCCAACGAAAACTTGAAAAATCGATATCTTCCAGATGATTTTTATTTTTGTTTTCATCTGGATTAATGGTGAAATGTTACCGTCTATACTTCCGTTTACAAAAATGCATGTTCTGTTTTATTCAGACCTTTGGTAAGGCGGTTTTCCCAAAGGTACGTCAAATAAGATTGCTTACAGTTCAGCCGTCCCGCTGATCCAGAACTTCCTTAGTAACGGCATTATAACAACAGTTTTGAATAAAATCATAATCAACTCAGTGGGGTCATAAATACTCACTTGTAAACCTTAACGATGAAAAACCGGACCAACATTCTCGTTTATGCTCGTATTCACCTGACCGTCTTATATTTCAGTTAAAAATGACGTATAAGATAAGCTTGAAAGCTCACTTCTCTCAGAAGAGCTCAGTTAAACAATCCCCATCTGTCAGGATTAAGAGAATATTTTTGAAGTGTGAATACCTCACAATTTGTCTGAAAAAAGTGACAGGTCGTTAGTACATTTTAAAATCACTTGTTTCATCCTGAGCGTGTTCAGTCAAGTTGATTTGCTTCATACTAATCTCAGCTCAACTGACCAGAGAGGGTTGAACATTTTAGCGATATTCTTACTGCTCGAAATGCAGGTAGGCTCAAAATGACTATGACAGTACCGAGTGGTAAATATCCCCTTAGAATAGTGATTCGTTCGTTCAAACCATAAATCTGCTCCTTGGGAAAAAACGATGTACGATACTAGTGTGTAGTTTGAATAAACCGCATTTTTCCAGATGACTTCCCTTTCTCCTCGAGGGAGCAGACGTCTAAAGGACGGCAGCGTGTTTGATGCCTGCTCCGCAGTAGATTATCTTCGCTGCTTATTCATCTGGCACTGTTGTCCCTTCGTCAACGTTTCTTTCATTGGGGAGTACCCCTGACGAAGAAAACACTGTTTTGGTCCAAATTTCTGTACTGCTGGATCACAACCGGCAAACAGTTTTGGTGCATATTCTGAGTGTTCAGTTTATCGGAATGATAAATTTTAATCCCAAAACCTCTAATTTATACCCCTGTTAAATCTCCTCGGCTTGACACAAAGTTAAACGCCGTCCAGTTTCGAGATCCCATAAAGATCTCTTAGGTTCATAATGAAATATATGTTCTCGAGACCCCGTTCTGAAAATATTAGGGAACAATAGAATGAGGATGTAGTAGTGATTAATGAATTGGAAGCGAAAGACTGA